AAGGATGAATGGGAGGCAGAAGAAAAGCAAGGGAACATGGGAGGAAATATAAGGTGTCCCAAAATTCACCCAAGATTTGAACTTTGCGTGAGCATTAACAACAACAACAACAACAAAAAATAAAAGCCTAATTTTACTTGATTTATTGAATCATATTCTAATATCTGTTGCCCTTTGATTTCAATCCCTTCAATTTGATAAGCATTACCAAGTACCAATTATGGCCCAGGAGCAGGGACAATGAAGACCACGGCTTTGCATATGTGCCAGCAAAACCGTGGAGGCCATTTACCCGATGTGCTATTCCATACATAACCCTATACTGTATACTTTATGAATCAATAAAAAATTTACAATTTTTAATTATAAACCTGTGTTTTCTATCAAAATTACTTCTTGCGTGAATTTTGGGACACCCTATGAAAGTGAAGGAAATGGAGAAGGAAGACACACTCTGGTTGTGGGGGACAGAAAGGTTCTTGTAAAATTACATTCCTTCAATTCTTGGGAGTAGATGGCTGCCTAAATGGTATGTCTCCTGGAACGTGAAAATGAGCTCTTGCATCTCCTCCTTCATCCCCATCTGTTCAAGGATTTCTGTTAACCGGAGACAAAACCCAGGTTTGGAGCTTTGTCTCATAGTTAGAAGCTAAACTGTAATTTGTAAACAGCACTTGGGATCTGCTCCAGGGGCACTTGCATGGTGGGATGTCAAGAGATAGAGCATCTGGAAGATAAATGTAAAATATTTTACTAAGTCTCTTCCCCAGAAATATCAATGAAAACAAATTTTCTTTTATTGTGTCTTTGTCTTTCTTTGGCTTTGCCAGTCGGCCTGCTTCTAAATTATCTGTCTCTGTACCCTCTGTCTTCACTATTGTTTTTTCCCTTTTAATGATGATCAAGTCCTAAGAAACCTCAGAAGCCCTGCCCCCAGTACCTTTTCCTGAGTCACCATGGACCCCTTCCTCTTTCTCCCCCAGGGAAATATTGGGAACAAGTCTTTCTGATTGTCAGGCTCCACATAGCACTCAGATGGCTGGCAGCCAGAGTAAAGAACCAGGGAGAGCTAGATTTGGATAAATCTGGTTTAAAGTCCACCCTAGACAGTCCAAATTCCCTGATACCCAGGGGGATGGGCCTTTCTCTCCAGTTGGGCCAGATTTTATGCAAGACATTTACTATGTCAAAGTATCAGTCTTTGGCCTCGGAGTCAGGTCTCCAGAGTCTGTTTCCAGCTCCACCCCAGGGTGATTCTGGTTAATGAAGCTTCTCCCAGTCTTTACACCCTTGACCTAGCTACCTGACGAGAGACAAGATCAGTGCAGGGCTGGGAGCTCTTGAGGACACAGGAATCAGGGAAAAGACAGGGAAGGTTGCTACTAAATGAGTTCCGACCCTCACGGTAGGGTTAAGTGGGGGGTTTAGGAACCTCGCCAAACCCAGTTCCCTGGGGGAGGTCGTTCTAGTCTGACCCAAGGGCGCCATCTGGCGGCCGGATCCCTCCCGCACCTGGACTCGCCCCGCCCGCGA